TTTCTCTCTCTCTCTCTCTCTCTCTCTCTCTCTCTCTCTCTCTCTCTCTCTCTCTCTCTCTCTCTGTGTCTCTCTGTCTATATGCCCTTTCTGTGTCATATTTTACAAAGCTGTGCCTGACACAAACTGAATACAAAAGCGTGGCATCCGGTTTACTTTCGCCACGGTTTTTATGTCTGTAGTGTAATAATCTTAAAGCGAGACAGAAATAAAATCCAATATGTGGCAGCCCTTACTTTTTCCCAGCAATACATGACCATTCTTGTGTGGGTGTGCTTCTCTTTTCTTAAACAAACAAGCCAGGTCTTTAGCGATCACTCACACTTAAGTTATACATTGCTCTGTTTCTGGAAGACAATAATTTTCTAATCTTACATAATCTGCAGCCTGGCCTGGCCTAGCCTAAATCTGCACGTATAGAAGGGTTCCCTACAAGGTGAGATTTGAATCCTGGATGATGCCGGTGTCGAGCCTCCTGACTTTGAACTCATAATCAATATAGTATAACACGGACAGCTCGATTTCATTGGAACTGGCCTTGGTAGCTCAAGGGATCCGTAGTTGGAAGAATATCTTACAAAGATTTAGGAAAAAACAAAACAAACAACAACAAACAAAAACAAACAAAAAAGGAACCGCAGGCACAGTTTGATGGATGCGTGATTTCGAGTCTTCTGTGTTCGACCTATCCGTGTTATACTGTAATGCAAAACTGAAATTTTGCCTTCCTTTTAAGGCAGCAAGTCAGGGTAAATCCGAGTAAATATGTACACTAACTCCATTGGACAAGTTCAGTTGTCCCCTCAGAATAATGTGTATACTATTTCTGACAGCTCGCCAGTAAAACGGCGTAGCTAGAGCTGGTGTGAGATCTGTAATGACTTCTGGATATTTCAGATGTCGGCCTCCGTAAACTCCTGGCCCCCAACAATGATGCTTCTCGGAAAAGTTGGCCACGGGAAGACAGCCACGGCTTCTAGTGTCCTCGAGAGACGCATCAGTTATAATGTGGACGAAGAAACCACAGTCGTATTCTTCTCCGGCAGAGCTACCTCAGCTGATGGTGTCAGTAAGGTGGACGTCATCGACTCTCCTGGACTTTTCAACACCTTCCCCGTAGATGATGCACAAGACACAACGAGGATGTTTGAACAGATTGAGAAGGCTATCGGGATCAACGATGACGGAATCAATGCCTTTGTCATAGTTTTTCGCTTCGGTACTCGTTACACGGATGACGAGCAAAAAGTAGTCCGTAATTTAGAGCGGGCTTTTAGTCCAAGCTTCCCAAGCTTCTTTGCTGACCATGTCATTGTCGTATTCACTTACGGAGGTGACTATCGATTGAAACATGGGGATATTCCTTTTGGGGGTTGGGTGCGCTCCCAAATGGCCGATATGAAAAAACTGTTTAATATGTGTCAAGGCAGATGTTTGCTGTTTGATAACGTAACTTGTTCAGCAGAAACAGCCGCTGAACAAAAGAAGAAACTGATGGACACTGTCTCCGGGATGACCAAGAAATTTACAATTGATGACTACGAGAAGACGATGCCTCATCGCAAGAAGCTTTTGTCGGAACTGACACCATCTTGGACAGATTTTTTCAAAAGATGCCAACCTTATAGGTCATTGTTTCCACTGCATTGTGTCTCCATCTGTGTTATCGTGTGTTTGTTTCCATTTGCTGTTATTTTCTTTCTCTACTGGGATTGTTTGGATTACGTCTGTCGTTCCTGTAGAAAGTACATGCAGTTAAATTGTCGTCATATAAAAGCCCAAGAATGACAAGAAGACAGGCTATTCTATGAAATCAATGAGATGACGTTTGTCTCAGGTTTTCTAAATTCTCGTCAGTCAGTTACAATGCTTATCCTTCAGGCAGTTCGCCTCGTGGTCATCAATTTCTTTTCGTAAATGAGTCTGAATGATGAGCCCGTCGTTTTATATGTAGGCCTATGTATTATCCACACACACACACATACACACACATACACACACACACACACACACACACACACACAAACACACACACAAACACACACACACACACACACAAACACACTGCACATCATTACAGGCGCAGTGTGTGTGTGTGTGTGTGTGTGTGTGC